AACATCAATCTCTCGGTGGTGAGCTCCGGTTTGCGTGTTTGCCTTGAAGTCTGTTCTGATTGTTTGTTTCTTTTTTTGGAGAGGGGGGAGGGTGTAAAAGGTAGTTTGTATGTGTTTGTATGTTTGCTCATTTCATCTCCAAACCAAACTGTTGAAGGGCAGGATTGCATACATGTGACCTTAATTTCAATATTATATAATCAATTATATAACTCCCTTGGAATTGGCCGCTTGAACGCAATGCTGAAAACAAGATCTCTTGCGGCGGCTGTCCTTTTGGTGTGCCTCCTCTGATATCATCCACACGGGGTGTCCCATTTCAGGAGCCCCTCCCCACGGCAAGCAGACCTGAGGGAAGCTGTTGATTAAGCAACAAGACGTGTGTGCGTGTGTGTTGTTTCGAGGGAAAGAGACCAAACGGAAACTACAGACTTTGCGGTGTCCTCTTTTTTAAGACACCACATGAGAAGACACGGGCTTAGCAAAACAAAGAAGCAGGGACTGCGGACGGGGTTGAGGGAAGCCTTGAGGATAACTGATTAGGCACAGGAATCTGCGTCGCTGCCCGGTCTTCGCGTCGTTGAGGATATGTGCTAATTCAGGGCGACCCCTACCCAGAGGTTCATGAGGATTGCTTTTGGGGGGTAAGAATGGGTCTATGTACCTCCTTAGAATGTACTTGGACCCTCTGGGCTAAGAAGCCATGGTGTTCCTCTGGGTTTTTCCCTTTGAACCCAGAACAAACACGGTGTCCTCGAAATAATTATGTCTTTCAAGGGACACGAAAGGAGAGGCAACTGGTATGATGTTCCCATTTGAGAGAACACCCATACTTTGCCTTTCCGGGTGTTTGAAACATTACCTTTTTGGAAAGGGCCATGTTTAGATGACTTGTAAAAGCACGCTTGACGCGTAGTATTGACGCGCTTGGCCCTTCAGAAGCTCAGGAACGCGGCGGAGTTCTACTTCGATGTCATCAGCAGCAAATACGAAGAAGCTGCGGGGAACTCCAAAGTGCCGGTGACTCGTTTGACCGAGCAAGTTACTTCCATTTGCTTAAGAATACTTTTGTTTAGTTTCCCTTGTTGGTTTTAACAGGAATTTATCACTACTGGAAATACTTTTTTCCAGGGGTCTTAACTAAATGGACGGTTCTCTTGCCAGACTTCGCTGGAGATGTCTTACAGAGGGGGCCCCAAAATCAATGGGTTCCTTTTGGCTTCCCTATTTTGCAGTCGTGGCTTGCGTTTCCACAGAACTTGGTGGGCAGAGCTCTTGGTCGCTCAAAGGCTTTCTCGTTTACTTTTCCAATTCAAGAATGATAAGTGAAGAAGCTTTTTAGTTTCCTAACAAGCTACGTTCAAGTGTTGCCAAGTATTTGTTTTTGTTTCCACATGTCGGAACACAAATCAGTCTTTCCTTTTTGTTCGTCCGTCACCGTCCGGGACAACACTTAGAACCGAAAAATAATTGCTGGGGACATCAAAGAGAAACGTGAACAGGTACTTGTTGCGAACACATATTTCCAGAGCTGTTTCAAAGTGCATGTCCGCCACTATAAAGCCGCCCCTAAAAACAGGTACACTCTCAAACTTCACACCAAGCTTATCGGTATAGCTTGTTGCCTTCGCGGTGATACATCATGTTTCCTTTCAACCAACAAGTGTTCTTGCCGGTCGCAGTCCGAAGCATCAGCCGCCTGTTCCCATGATACTGTGGATGAACGACATGCTGCACCACCTAAGAAAGCCTGGAATGATGATTCCCTGGTAACACAGGTTTCTCATGGTTTCAAAGTGGTGCAGGATTTCGTTCATCCACAGTAGCTGTGTTTGTTCTATGGTGTGGTGGGCAGAGAGTATTCACAAGACAAAAGTGGACATATGGTATGTTTTTTTAAGAGCAACTTACTTATTACATATTTATACTTCAGCCCTTGTTCCAGCGTGCTCTGAACAATTTGACCTATGTTGTCAAAACTAATTGCGTGCAGTTCAATTCATCCACATTCCAAGAGTTTTGGCTCGACCCTGGGAAGCGTTTGGAGTGGATTGCTTTCCATGCGGGAAATGCTGATACTTTAGGCTGTGTTTCTCTTATATGTAGCTGGTTCTGTGCTGTTTGCCTGTGTCCGCGCGCGCCTGTGTGTGTGTTGTTTGCTTGGGTTGTCCCTTTGGGTGTCCTGTCTCTCCTTTCTCTTTACTTGTGTTTTGGAAATCTCTTTGTTTGTCTGACTGTTTGTTTGTTAGCCTCTTTGCCTGCGTGCCTGTGTTTGTTTGCTTTCCGTTTGTTTGCTTGTTTGTAGTTTCGGCTATCACCCAACTTGACCGAATTGCACGTGGCCAAGTCGGGTAATTTTTCGCGGATGCCGCTTTAGTTCAATGCCCAGCAATGGCTCAGGATCATTGGGCAGGATTTCCGGGTATGGCGACCCATTTTTTTCGTGAGCCTCTTCAGGGGTATCCATGAGAGCCAGATATGGCACCCCGGACCCTAGGAATTTGTTTTATTGGCACACCCCAAAGCCCTGGGATTCCAACCACCATTACATGGTTGTTGTTGGGAAACATTTTACATTTTGGCTTATTGTGGTTTAGTGGGAAATCCAAACTTAACCGCTAAAATTTGATTGTTTGCTCCCCTTCCAACGTCAACCAAGATTAACACAAGTGAGGGCTCAGAAATAACCACCATTGTTTACCTAAGGATTGTCATCCAAATTGGGTCAACCTTTCTTTTGGCAAGGAACCGGTTCATATGGGCATGGGTCAAAATGATGCCACCAGGAAATGGACCACAGGTTTTAGTCATTGGTTCCATTTGCCAGGGTGCCATTTTGGGTACCTATTTTTGACCCACAGCCATATAACCACCATTGTTTACCTAAGGATTGTCATCCAAATTGGGGCAACCTTTCTTTTGGCAAGGAACCGGCTCATATGGGCATGGGTCAAAATTAAGCCACCAGGAAATGGACCACAGGTTTTAGTCATTGGTTCCATTTACCAGGGTGCCATTTTGGGTACCTAGTTTTGACCCACAGCCATATAACCACCATTGTTTACCTCAGGATTGTCATCCAAATTGTGGCAACCTTTCTTTTGGCAAGGAACCGGCTCATATGGGCATGGGTCAAAATTAAGCCACCAGGAAATGGACCACAGGTTTTAGTCATTGGTTCCATTTACCAGGGTGCCAATTGGGTACCTATTTTTGACCCACAGCCATATAACCACCATTGTTTACCTAAGGATTGTCATCCAAACTGGGGCAACCTTTCTTTTGGCAAGGAACCGGTTCATATGGGCATGGGTCAAAATGATGCCCCAGGACATGGACCACAGGTTTTAGTCATTGGTTCCATTTACCAGGGTGCCATTTTGGGTACCTATTTTTGACCCACAGCCATATAACCACCCTTGTTTACCTAAGGATTGTCATCCAAATTGGGGCAACCTTTCTTTTGGCAAGGAACCGGCTCATATGGGCATGGGTCAAAATTAAGCCACCAGGACATGGACCACAGGTTTTAGTCATTGGTTCCATTTACCAGGGTGCCATTTTGGGTACCTATTTTTGACCCAAAGCCATATAACCACCCTTGTTTGCCTAAGGATTGTCATCCAAATTGGGGCAACCTTTCTTTTGGCAAGGAACCGGCTCATATGGGCATGGGTCAAAATTAAGCCACCAGGAAATGGACCATAGGTTTTAGTCATTGGTTCCATTTACCAGGGTGCATTTTGGGTACCTATTTTTGACCCACAGCCATATAACCACCATTGTTTACCTAAGGATTGTTATCCAAATTGGGTCAACCTTTTTTTGGGGGGCAAGGAACCCTAGGACCAGGTTTGATTTCGGTCATATGTTGGAACTGAAACCGAGTCCTTTCCAAGGTGATTTGTGCATGTCACTCAGTGTAGGCAGATGTTTGATTTTTGGGAAGCCACCAGTCTGAGACAAAGTTCACTTGGAAGGCTCAGAAGGCCTTTTCATGCGTTTCTCCACGGTTTCCCGGAATGGAAAGATACACAAAACCAGAGACCTAGGGCTAACTTCCCCATTCTTTCCAGGGATCCTTCTTTCTAGAAAACCACCCAAAACCCTGTGGAAATGGCGATCGGTTTTTCAAAAGAAGGATGGCTGAAAGGAAAGGACAAGGAATGAACCCCGAATCCCAGTTGCCCAGTGGCGCCCCGGTTTCCGTTGTTTTTTTTGGGAAGGGTTCCCCTTTAAAGTCAACCAACCAAAATAGGATGCCGATCCTTTGTTCTCCCATGGAAATCCACTCATCTGAGTCATGGCTTCTCTATTGGCAGTGATCGACCCCACCACCACCACCCGACTGATGCCATCCGAGGTGAGCAAAAAGATCCTTGCTGCCTCCGGTGCTTTGGGTGAGTTGTCAGAGCCGTTGGCAAAGTAATTCGTCGAGTTGGACTCCCGGGAATCCCACCTTTTGAACTTTGGGGGAGCCCTGAAGGCCCAAGAAAGGTTTTTTCAGCTTTTCTTCTCCAAAGCAGGGAGTGTTGACTGACACTGCGGACGCATTGCGATATTTGCGGTTCTGAATGTCCATCGTTTTTATCGTTGAACAGCCGCTTCACTGGCGGCGTGTGGAGCAACTGGCTGCTTTTGATTATGCAATCCGGAGGATTCAGCGGCGCGCGCAAGCGAAAGGCCGACATGCTGCAGGGTGGGACCAGGCAGAACCAACCCCAGATTGGGCGCTGGAGGGCCGAATTGGCTTCCGGAAAGCCGGCGGAGCGGGGGCGTTCCAACCCGAAGCCGTGGTTGTTGCTGGGACACATGGCTAGATTTCTTGCTTATTGGGGTTCAGTGGCGGAAATCCAACCACTTAACGGCTAAAAAAAATAAGTTTTGGCCCCCCTTCCAACGTCAACCAAGAAACCAGTGTTTGACCTCAATTCACAACTCTTGGGAACAAAAAACAATCGTCCCCAAAACACGGCAGCGTGGAGCTCTTGGATGCTCAGGTTTTGCATCGCGGTCATCTATTTCGCGCCGGCCCAAGCTGAACCCTGGGCTGCGTGTGTTTGCCTTCGTGCGGCGGGGGGCAGTGGTTTCTGTTGCTTGTTCGCACCTGGGTTTTTGTGGGTTGTGATGGGCATTTCACGAAATTCTAGGTGCCCTTTCTCACCCTTTTTTGGGGGAGGGCTCCCTTATTAAAAGAGACTATATACAGAAAAAAAGGGTACCCTTATTCTAACCTCTGTACTGGAAGACCTAGAGTTCGTTGGTTGATCATGAGTCATGTCAAACTGCGGTGAACTTTTTGTTATTTGACCCGCTCAGTTGATTTTTCTTGCTTGACATGAGTGGTCCCCTTAAACTACCCAGAGTCTCCATGACCCTTCAAAATCCTTAAAGCATGGTTGGTCATTACCCCAACTCAACGGAACATCGCCCCAGGTTTTCAAGGCTCATGGAGACTCCAGGTACGTATGGCCCATCTAGGCCACGTGAAAAACCAGTTCTGTGGCTTTCCGCTGGGCTTCGCCGGGTCGCAGATTCGTGGCGAGGCCTTCATTCTGTGGCAAGCCTACTGGACTTTGGATGTGGAAGAGTGGCAGAACGGCTGGAAGGCAGAAGGGGCTCGGAGAGCTCAGCCCCGGAAGGTTTGTTTTTTTCTTCTTTTTGTTTAAAGGTCCGCAGAGTTTTTGTTTGTTGGTCCGGGGGTCGGGGTCTCCATGGTCTTTGCCCTTCTGAAACGTGGTATGTTTGTCTCTTTTTTTTGGGGGGGTGTGGGGAGGGGGGGTGTGTTCCTGAAGCTTTTGGAAAAAACTATCATGTCCCATGAAACCGGCAAGTTGTATATGGCTTTGGGTCAAAACCAATGGTACCATTTTGGGGTAGGTGCACCACCCATTTTAGTCTATTCTCGTGGGGATTGGGATGTTCACTGGGGGTACGATTTGGATTTTTACCCATGGCCATATTGATCGACTTTTCATTCGAGCTTGGAGCGGTCCCAAGTTACTGGCCTGGCAACCGATCAGTCTGGGGAATGACGGGTCATTGCAGTTCCATTGTGACCGCTAACGGAAAGCCACCAGGAAACTGACTTATTTTTCTCTTTTGTGGGGGGCTCTTTTCAGGCGCACCCATGTTGCATATCCCTTTCTTATCTGCTGGGGATATGATTGTTCAAATTGTTCTATTGTTTCCTTCGCTCGCTCCCAGTACAGTTGACCCTGAGCACAACAGTGTTGTGGTCCTTTTCAGCTTGGTTCAAAGGGGAAACCAAAAGGACACCATTTATGGGGTCCCCCTGTTTTGAACCCCATTTCCCACAAAGATACTCCCCCAACAAAGATCTACCTGGAGTCTCCATGACCCTGAAAAATGACTTAAGTCCAGAGGCAGGTCAGTCCTGACCAGAGCCCTGGCACCCGCGGCCTGAGCAGCGTTCGCTGGAGAGGTGGTTGCAAGCTCAAGCCTTGGCATCTATTGAGTCCTCAAGTTCCTTTGGCTCCCAAACTGCCCTTCATCAATGTCAACTTCAGGTCAATCTGAACATGCCAATCCAATCAACTTGAGGTCCGTTTCGGTTACCTGTTGCATTCTCTTTGCACGCGAGGGGCTCGTTGTTCTCTCATTCAAACAATCGCCCATCATTTCAACAATGCCTTCGCCAACTGGTGAGGTTGAAAGCAGAACAGACAGACGTACCACTTCCACTTGACGTCGGGTATCGTCACGAGACCATGAGACAAACAGCACGCGTGTTCCGGGACAGGCGATCATCATCGCGTGGCGCTTCGCGGTGTTGGGAGACTTCGAAGTGGAAGAGCTGGAGGGGCAGGAAGGCCTGGTCGGCTCACTCCCGGAGTTTCAGATTTTTGTTTTTTGTTTTTGTGGGGGGGGAAACCGATTAATAATCTTCTTTTTTTTAGTAGGGAGTCCCTCCAGTCATGATTCCCCGCTAAACCCAGAGTTGATGAAACTGGGGTCAACATGAAGTAACAATTGAGATTCTGTTGGCCGGCCGATCCACACAGGAAGTGAGTCACAGGTCTCACCCCCCCCCCCCCCCCATGGATCCTTAGGTCCTATTGGGATAGCTTCTGAACGACTCCCTGAAGACTCAAATAGGTTGTGCTTGTTCCGAAACAGAGCCCCTGCTTGGTTTCACCAGTTTGTGGACTGCAGGAACTGAACACGGTGCGTGTCCCTTTGACCCTCTTCATAGCCATCTTTCATGCGTGCCATGGTCAAAAGGCCCCTTTTTTCCTGCGATGGGGATGGTCATGGACCCCCATACAGGTTTTAGACCAATGCAAGGCCTAAGGGAACCCACGACCCGACCCACAGGGTTTCTCAGTTGTCCAGTGGCTCCCTTTTTCCTTTTTTCTGGTGGCTCCCCCACTAAAATGGTCTTCCCAAAAAAGGGTTCCCTTTTTTTTCCAGGGTCACTGAACAACTGAGGTTTTTGTTTGGATGCCGCACTTCTTTTCTTCTCAGGATCCCTTTCTTAGGGCTGAAGATGGGATTGGGACCAGCTGTTGGGATTGAAAGGCAGCGAGAAAACTAACAACTTAAAGGCAAACACGTGGCGGTGGTGGTCAAAACCGTTTTGGGATCCCATTTTGGTTGGTAGGTGAATTCACCAGCCATTTTAGGATCTATTTTAGTGGGGATTGGGATGTTCGCTGGGGGTACGATTTGGATTTCGACCCATGGCCACATGGCAAGACGAGCCACTTCAAGCGGAACAAAAGGACACCAAGCATTTTAGGACTCCGCTTTTTAAAGAAACCCAATCTGGCACCGCTTGCGACGCTCTTTGGCAGGCACGTGGCACCAGGCCGGAGAGAATCTCTCGGGCCAGCTTTCCACGGCTCGCGACAAGGGCACAGAAAGAACGGGGTTGTTGACAACAGTGGCATAACTAGGTCCCCAGTAGTGCCCTTTTACCAACTTTTTGGGGGGAGGGTTCCCCTACTACAATAGACCACAGACAAAATGTTGGCACCCTTGTTCTAACCTCTCTACCGGAGGACCTAGAAGCAATATTCCCAGTGGTACCCCAGTGATTCCCCTCGTCAGCCACTATAGTAGCTACCCCTTCGAGATATACAACCATCCCAAGGGTATGTACCCCATTTTTCCCTGTGGATAGTGGTTTGGGGGTAATTAGTGCAGAGTCTCTTGGAACATTGGCATTGGGTCCTTTTGGGTTTTCCTCCATTTCCCTTTTTGGATCGTGGCGGTCCTTTCAATGGAAAGCGGCCAATTCATGAACGTGGGAAATCCCGCCAGCATCCTTGCTGTTTACCTTGTCCGAGGTCCAACCAAAACATTGGGTGGCCGCCCATTTTGGGCAATCCGGAAAGGAGCAAAGGCTTTGATCTGGGCCAAAGGAATCCCCACTGGACCTTCATGAGCTTCCCTTTCAGTTCCCAAGGTCCCCAAAGACTTGCCTTGCCTGGGAGTAACGCTCACTGGTGCCCCTCCCTGAGTCCCTGAGCCCGCTACTGTGGGCAGAGAGGGTTGGGGAAGGAAGTGAAGCCAAAGGAATCCCCCCTGAACCCTCCCTGAGCTTTAAGCCCCCGAGGTCCCCCAAGGCATTGGCTTCCCTTTTAGTTCCCTGACCCACCGCAACCGGGCCAAACACGACTTTGGGCGAGCTTCCTGCGTCGAAGTTGTGTTTTCCTGGCGCGACTCGTGTCGAGATGCTCAGTTCTCCAAAGCAAAATCGACCTGAAATGACCTGAAATGACGTTTTTTCTACATTACATGTTGGGAGACATGTTTGGTCATGACCGCAAAAGTTTACTGTAACCTTTTTTTCCAGGATTGCACATTCCCATCTTGTTCAATTGATTGACGTTGACAGGTCAGGTGTTGACTTTCTCACTCCCCGAGTTCATTCACTTTAGCTACCTTTTGAGACCGTTTGAGTGGCAAACAAAGAGTTTGCACTTCTGGCCAAATCTCGGGAAGTGAGTCGGGGGTGTTTGGCACCCCAAAACCGCTACTGCGGATGGACGCTATTCTGCACCACCTTAGGAACCCTGGAATGATGATCTCCCTGTAAATACCAACACAACCATGGGTTCCTATGGTTTCAAAGTGGACTTCATCCATCCTTCCATCCACAGTAGGTCCTATTGAGGTGGCCTCGGTTGCCACAGGAGGATGACGGCAGCGGCGGCATCATGTTGACATACGAGGCTGCCAGAGGGCCGTCTCAAGCGCAGGTCTGATGGAACTCCAATAATTAATCGGGGCGTTGGGAAAGGTGCAAACCCAACTCCTCGGCAATGTTTGTCTTGTTTGACCATTGTGTTGGTTTGTTTGTCTTGTTTGACCATGGTGTTGGTGTGTTGGTTTTGTTTGTCCATGTGTTTGTTTGTGTTTGTTTGTTGGTTTGTTTGCTGGTTTTTTCGAGTTGACATGCCCAGCATTGCCGCTTCTCTCGTCTTCACGGCTTTGGAGGGTTTCTCCGTGAACTCGTGAATCGAACAAAAAGCACAGGCCGGTACTTTCAACACTGGGGAATTTCTTGTATGAAGGTGGCCCCGAGCCATCCGGTTCCTTGGCTTTTTAGCCTTTTAGTGTTTAGTTTGGATGTTTAGTGGTGCTTTCCATTCAACCCACCAAAAGTTAAACTTTTTGCGGGGGGATCGGAGGGCAGGCCAGGTATGCAGGTTCGTGATGGCGGCTTCTTTGGCAAATAGTTTAACTACGACTCGGTTCTAGGCGTTTTCCGGCTCCGGGTTCAATGCTGGGCATGAGGCGTTTCGGCTCGGGGCCTGGAAGTTGCCGAACACTTCGTGTCGTTTCAGTTCCTGTAAGTTTCAGAATGGTTTGTGTCCGTTCGCGCTGCACGATCGGAGCTGAGAAATGGTCGATTTGCGTGTAAGGCTTTGGCTTTCAGAGCAGGGATGGGGTGACGCCTCTTTGCTTGGTTGCCTCAAATCATAATTTATTGTGTGTGCGGGTGTCTGAAGCAGAATGTCTGGCTTTTCGTGGCTGTGTGCAGAAGCTGTGCTGGCACGCCTGGGAAGTTGGAAGGTTCAGGGCTGTTGGGGATGCTCCATAGGCTTAGGGCTTCATTTATTAAAACATCATTAATAATAATAATAAGAATAATAATAATAATAATAATAATAATAATAATAATAATACTAATAATAATATAGTAATACTAACAATAACAATAACAATAATAATGACAATAATAAGAAACACACATCCTCGCAACACCAAACGGTCTTTTTTGAGGTTTACACGGCCCGCGCCCCCCGGCTTGTCCTTTTCAAGCGTTGAGGATCCGCAGCTGACCACCAACTCCACGGTGGCGGGGGCCCAAGTTCTTGGCGAAGCCATGGCTTTGTGCCCCTTGGGTTCTTTTGGTTTCAACTTTGGTTTCTCTTGTTTTTCTAGGGGTTCCTTCCATTTCCATTCTTTTCACGCATCGTTCTTGTCAAAAACCAGCTGTTTCCCTGGATCTTGAAACGGCCCTAGGTCCCCCAGCTAGGTGCCCTTTTACCGTTCCTTTTTTGGGGGGAGGGTTCCCCTACTCAAATACACTACAGAACAAAGTTGGTAGCCTGAACCGAAACCTCACTGGAGGACCTAGTTTGGTTTCCCGGCAGAGAACTCCAACTTGGTTTGTGTTTTTCTTTCCAGTTTCATGATCCCCGGGTCCCTTACAAATGGTTGATGATTGGTTTGTGTTTGTTTTTCCAGTTTCATGATGCCCGGGATGGTTGATTGGGAGAGGGGATTTGGACTGGAGATCGCCATTTGTGGCAACCCATTTTCCCTTTGGTGGGGACTAGGTTCCATTTTCCCTATGGGGAAGACTAGATAAATGGAACGTAAGGTAGGGAGGATTCGGCTAGTTGCTTTTTTTGTTCAGGGTTTTTGGACTAACTCCGCATGTGCCAGGCGAAGGTTTTTAGTTTTTGCCCTTTTTGGGGGGTTGTTTTTGACACGCAGTCCTGGAAGTTGCCTCGTGTAGATACTGATATTCGCCCAACGCCCTCCAGTACTACGTAAGGGTTGGCCTCTTTGCACCAATCATGGAAGCTGACAGAAGGGTTTTGGAAGACTGCACACCTCTTGAAAAGTCTCCACCCCCTTGAAAACGGAATTGGGAGAGGGGTGACCCCTTAAATTCCATTTATGGCTGCACGGTTCTTTTTGCGACTAGACAAATGGAATTTGGGGGACCCCCTTCAACCCCTCACCCTCCCCGTTGTGGTAGGGGGGATCTTGAAAAGGCCCTAGGTCCCCCAGTAGTGCCCTTTTACCATTTTTCGGGGGGAGGGTTCCCCTACTAAAATTCACTACAGAAAAGGGTACCCTTGTTCTAACCTCTCTAGTGACTGGAGCACCTAATTGTCCACTGGGTTCAACTGTTGCCATTGGTTGGTTACAAGGGACTAGACCTAGGGTGCTTTGCAAATTGGTCAGTTAACTCCCGAAATATTGTAAGTGAAATGACATGCATCAACCACACACGTCAAAGTACCAGATTTCGCTTGTTCCCTACTGGCAACATGGAACATGGATTCACTCCCTGATTTCGTTGACTTATACGTTTTGGGACGATTTTAGTGGCACTCGAAATACTTGTTTTGCTTTGCCCATCCACCTCGGAACTGAGTTTAGAGAGTTACCGTTGCCTGGGACCACGGGAAATGGGAATCCACCCCTAAGGGCACCCGCGTCACCACCGGCGTATGAATGTAAATTAGACATGGATGACACTTTGGTTAATGTTGCTATCACGGAAACGGTTGTTTCCCACCACCATGAACCCACCTGCTGTTGACGGATACACTCCTGCACCACAAACCTTCGGGATAAAGAAAAATCATCCCCAACTCCTGGATTTAAGTCCAGAGGTCCGCGGGGTCTTCATTGTGCTCTGCGGCATGATGTTCCCGGTGCTGATTATGAACATCCTGATCTCTGTGCTGAGCGCCAGGGGCCCCAAGCCCCCGCAGAGTTAACCTTAGGTCGTTCTCGAGGCTTACGGATTGGCTCGAAGTGGAGACGGGCGCGGTTGCCCAGTTCGACCCAACGGCTTCTGGAGAGCTGGTGGCCTCCGGTTTGGCTGACCTCGTTTTTTCCCATGGGCTGGGAGGCTCGCAGAAGTGGGATGGAAGTGTCTGGGCTTCTGGACTGGATCTTTTTTGGTTTTGGTGCGGCATGGTCTCTCTTGGTGCTTGCTTGTCGCTGGTGGCACTGGTGGCAATGTCCCGTTGTTTGCCCTCCCACGAACATGAAAGTGCCCAGACCCCCGGTGGAAAGACGGCTTTCCCCTTGGAAATGGGGTTTGTGCACAGACCCATGTTGGTTGGTGGGAGGGTAATGTGTTTGTCCCTTCAACCTCTTCCACATGCTCAGACATCGGTATCCGTGTTGAGCAGTTGAGCATGGGCCCACTTGATTGAATGACGCCTGTCTAATTTTGAGTTTGGCCCAGCCCGAGCAGAAGTTTTTGCGTGTTTTGGGCTTGGGTGGCGCGTGTTGCTTCCTTGGAGGGCGGCTTCGTGGATAGCGAAATCCACTTGGGAGAGAGAGACACACAGTTGCTTCCGAGCCGAAAGAGGCCTGGTGCATTGGTAAACAGAGGCAAGCGGCGCAATCATTCATCTCTTCCGCCTAAGCCCCCAAAATGCCGGGTTTCCTTTTGGTTTCCCTTCCAAACCGCCAAAAAAGGAGGTGGACCTCAAAAACGACAGACCCACGTGACATGAACAAATGGGACACCAAGAGCGGGTCCGCAGCCTTCGCTCGCTCGAGGTGTGGCTCAGCTTCGCCCTGAAGAATGCAGGGGCCTCAGAGCCGTGCTCGATTCGAAACGCTGCGCCTCCAGGCATCATAGTCATAGTCATACTTCCTTCTTGTATGGTGAATTGAAACCTGCTTTGTTGGCTATATAGGCTATACTAAAAGGTTTCTATCCCTTACTTCCTGAGTTCCGTTTGCTTATTGGGAAGATGAGTGGCGAACTACTAGTTTGGACTTGTTCGCCCAATCCGCCCCCAGCGAGTAGGCAACCAGGAGAAACCATCACGCAAAACTTGGTAAGGAACCTTTAGCTCCTTGGTTTCCAATACAACCAGCCACCATGTTCCAAAAATGATTTCGGGTTTCCTTTTGGTTTCCCTTTAAACCTACTCAGCATGGGTACCGTTAAAAACAAACAGACCCATCTGAGTCACAATCAAAACCCGGGTAGATGAAGGTTAGTAAGGGACGATCCCAGCCACAAATTGCTGCGGCCGCCTTCTTAGTTCTTTATATGGTTCTGGGTAGACAGACCATTTTTGTGCCGGGGTTTGATTTTGACTCAATTGAGCTCATAGGCTTTTACCTAGTACAGCATGCTGGAACTCAGGCAATTGGCGGTTTGGATTGGTGGCTTGGGGGTTTGACCCCTGGTTCTTGTAGAGGGTAAATGGGAAGCCACGCGTGTTCCTCCAAACCACTGCAAGGTCTGGCTGGATTTCCAGCAAGCAAGGGCGAGACGCGTGCTGAGATACAAGGCGCAGGGATTTCCAGCTTTGCCATCCAAGCCAAGCAGGAAGATAGTATCGCCAGTGGGCGTGTGTGTGTGTGTGGTGTGTGTGTGTGTCTTTGTGTGTGTGAGCGCTTTTTTAAGGGGTTCCAACTGCCGAACACAGGGCCCCCTTGCTGCCCATGGCCACTGGAGGTCGGGGATAAAGGTTCGTTGAGGCCAGTTCCAGCCAGAAGTAGATTGCCTCTTTGATGGTTTTCAATCAGGGTTTAGTCCAGGGTTCCTGGGGAATCCCCATAAAACAAGGGACACCCCCTATGAACCCGGGGTTTAGTCCGGGGTTCGAATTATTTTTTCTTCACTGCGCCTGTACTTTTCTAGGGGCTCAGAGGTTTGTTCGGCGCAAGCGCCCGCCAGGCCATGACTAGAATTTGGTCCTGCAAGCGGCGACATCAGGACACGCGCTGGCGTGCGCAAGCGCGCGCACGCTTGCAGCGATTGAACACATGCAACACATGTCATCTTGCCAGGTCGTTGGTTACACCTTCAACCTGTCTATGTGGCTGTGTCTCAAAATAGCGGACCCCCTTCTTGGATAACAATTATTTTAGAGGGAGGCCATAAGGGAAGTTGTGTTAAAAGCTCGGGTTGTTCGAAAAATCCAATGCTGGCGATCTAAAACCAAGCCAGGGGTCACCTCTTGACCATTCTTGGGGGTCGAACGTGGGAACTTCTTTGTGCAGAGACAACCCTCAGATCGCTGGATTGTCCTCGCGTCAAGGTCCAATGATTCGAGGCGTGTTCCTTCCTATTCGGTGGCTTTGGCAACATCAACCAAGTCCACCTGGACCCAACGAATCATTGATGGCGGCTTACTATTCGGGAGAGCGGCCAGTGCATTGTTATACAACCAAATCCATGTACAACCGTTGCTTGCGTGTGACAAATCCAATTGCACTTTGCCAGGATACCGACTTGACTGGCAAGCCGCCATGTTTGGCACAGCGCAGTGCAGTTGATCAGCGAGCCTCTATAGGGAACCAAGGCAAACCATCATAAACCACCTGGAGGTTTACATCCTGATTGCCTATACTATACTGAAAGAACGATCGTTTGGGATTGATTTACACATTCACGTGGGCAATCAGAGAGTTGTCCACGTGGCGGTGCGAAACAAATGTCACCTTTCCGAAGAGCAATGGAGTTCTATGGTGTTTTCCCAACCGCTGAGCGGTTTGCCCCACCCTTCCGAGGATCGATGGCCACGTGATCACCAGGATTTTCGTAGGCTTCCGGTGTTCAAGGATGCAGCCTTCCACAAGACTTGTCCATCCTGGACCCTTTTTGAAAGGCGGCACAAAGCGGCTGTGTAAAACTGGTAGCCCCTTCTTGAACAAGCTGCTGTTCAATGGGAACCAGGATCCGCTGTCGTGCCACGCCAGATTCTAACGCAGAGCCCTCCTCAACGCGAAGCCTCAACTTGAACAAGTTGAACAATGGAGGCAGGGGGTTTGGTTGGCAGGTTTTACAAGAATTCGTCATTTGTCACTTTTCTGGTCCATTACCAATAAACACAATTACACAGGGGTATTGGGTTACCACGGGGTGCTTGAAAGGGTCGGAATTCTGAATTGCTCTCAAAGGAATCAGGAAAAACTTGTGTTTTAAGGGTGTCATTTTGTCCCACGCCCGGTGCATCTGGCATTTGAAGATGCCTCAGGCGATCTCAGGCGCTCGTTTGGACCATTGCTGGATTTGATTTTGGGAAGATGGCAGGGGGATCTTCTGGGTGCCAAAAGACTCGTTCGTGTCTAATGACGGGAACAAACTACACAGGCATGCGCTTCTTTGTTTCCGGACCCCTGTTCAGCACCAGTCCTCTTAGACGTCCTTGGCCAAAGCATGGCCTCGCTCCGCCCATTTGGGCGAACTAAGCCCCCTGGCGTCGACGTTTCGACTTTCGACGCATTGGATCACTTATTTGCCAGCAAGACAAGGAGGATCCAAAAAACATCAGCAGATTTGAGAGTCCGCCTTTTACCAAGCTGGGACGGTAGCGGCAAACAACTAGACTTCAGATCGTTGCGAGCTAAGTGGGCATGTGGCAAGGGTCGGGCTTTGCTTGCCAGCTTACCCAGCTTGCCGGCTTGCTGTTGCTTGCCTGATCGCCTACCAGCCTCCCTGCCTGCCTAGTTACCTGCCTGGTGTTTTTGTGTGCGTGTTTTGAAGAGGTGCGGAGGGCTGCGCAGAGGTTCAAAAAGCTATCATGTATACTGAGTGGATCAAGAAATCCTTTGCATGGGATGACCATTGGTGCAAACCGCAAAACATATGATACGTCCCACTAAATGGGAAAAGTTAACCCTGGTCAGTTGGGGGCCATTCATATAGATCAACCCCCACTTCTTTGTGGTGGATTCCCTAAATGTTGCTTGTGAACTACATCCATCCGGAGGCCCATGATGAATTCAGAGTGTCCAACCTGTTCCCAGCTACCCTCGCTTTGTTTTGCTGGCATCCAACGTAAGGCTCTTTCTCGGTAGACTGACCCAGTCAAAGTCACCCCAAAGCGGTAGGGTAGAAAAGTTGTGGCTGCTGATGCCCTCGGCGAAGATGCCCGCCGGCACCAACGCACATTGCTCTCAGCCAAAAGGGGGCGGCCTGAAGGCAGCAGTCAGCACCGGCGTGCGGGGGATTGCGGGGGGGCTCCATGGAGCCCTATGGCCCTATGGTTATGCCAGCCAGTGGCCGCCAGTGTGTAGGCAAAATGCCTGTGTATGCTGTGTGCCAGGTCCTGTCGTTCAGGATCCATGTGAAACCGAGTTCTGGGTGGCAAAGCCGTGCGTGCGGTCGTGCGGTAAGGGCCGTGGCAAGGCAAGCGGGGCTTGACAAATCAGGCAGACGCAACTCGCCTCACCCACGTTGTTCTCACTGCAGCCGCCCTTGCGCCGCGAGCGCCGCTGGCCCCGCAGGGCCGACGGGAGAAAGCCTCGGCGCCTGCCGCCGAGCCACCAAGTGCGTGTGCGCTAACATGGCGGTAGGTTAAGCAACCAAGACCGACTCTGATGCCCCAAAGAATGGGCTCTCTCCAATATTTCATCCGCAAACTTGGCCATAGCCGGCTTAGGCCTTTACGGTCGCTGCGTCCAACATGTCAGCTACATCGCATGAAGTGGAAGGGGAGAAGGGGACATGGTGAGTCGTTAGCCCTGGTTATGACCAACTTAGGGGACTTACAACTATGATAAGCGGATTGCCACCGCGTGATGAGCATTGGGTCCGCAGGCTCGCCGGGCTACATTTGGTTTTCCGCCCCGAAGGAGGAGGACGGAACTCAGCGTGTCCCGAGCGTTCTTTCGGCCCCCGAGCTTGCATGGGAACTGAGATGTAAGGGTGTGTCCTTTTTTGGGTTGGACCCGCCCAAATGGCAAAGGTTTCCTGTTGGTTGCCCTTTAAAACCAACAAAAGTACCCTCAAAAAAAGACGTTTTTTTCTAGGGGAAACAATACCATGTCCAACCCAAGTCCAGGGATCCGAATTTATTTTCAGGAAACCTGCGGAGAACCCGGAAAAAGCGATCGGATTTGGGAAATCGATGAAGTCAGGGTCCGTGTCCAATTGAAACTCATACTTCTAGTATGATATGTTGTTGTTTTCTTTCTTGGCCGAGAACAAGGCGAGCTTTTTTTTTCACTCAGAAAAAAAGGGGACATGACATTTTTTGTTTTTTTTTTGGGGCGCTGGGGAAAATCATTTGCAGAGTGTGTTGGTTCCTGCCACCGGCAGTTCAGGAAATCCTTCAAGACGATATCGACCCTGGGCTCAATCTCAAGTTCAAGGCGCCTCCGCCTGGGCGCGGATGAATCGCTGGGAATCGGACTGAAATGGCTGTGGCTCAAAACCGTTTTGATATGTTTATTTTGGGGTAGGTGAATTCACCACCCGTTTTAGGCTTCCTATTTTAGTGGTTGGATTGGGATGTTCACGGGGGGTACGAGATTTTGACCCGCCAAATGGGTCGAGATGGATCAGCCCAATGGAATTGGGGACAGACGCACAGATCCAGCTAGGTTTCACCGGGAGGTTCCTTTGCCAGAAATCATGACAACTGAATTTGACCAGTGCTAATTGAGCAATCTGTGAACAAGGTGGGGATTTCGAGCCCTCGAGATCTCCATTGGTTTCATTTTCCCCTTTATGGAGAAATGGGGAAATGGAATTGGGGCAGCCAACCCCCTCCCTCAGAAGGTAGGGAGGATGTTCAAGGCTTGGCTGTCGACCTTCGGGGAAAAAAGGGGGTTCCCCAGTCAAGACTCTTGATTTGGGATTCTTTTTTGGGCAAGACTCAACAAACATGGGGAAAAGCGGAGGGCAGCATCTTTGTTCAGAGTCTCCGCTTAATTGTGTCGAGTCAGCCAAGTGACGCGTGAGATGCTTGTTAAGACAGGAGGGGCTCGGGCAAACCTCCGTGATGGATTGCTCTACGCACCCTAACGGCTATGCGCAGCGGCGAAGGAGGTAAGCTACCCGTGGAGGTTAGTGTCTCAATCCCCGAACCCATGGTGCAATAGGGGCGTGTCTTTTTTTGTGGGATTTGGAATCCCCAAAATGGTGGGGTTCCTTTTGGTGTCCTTTTAAAATCGGCCAGAAGGGCTAGCCTCAACAAAAGACACCCAGAATATAGTAGGCCCAATGCTTCCTTACCTACGCAACCGGGTGTGAGCCACAATGATAGAAACTGGTTCAGGATAACTCTGGTGCATTTTGCTTGGCTGTTAGGACTTTAACTTTTTGCCAACTAATGGGCTTTCCACTAAACCACTAAAAGTTAAACTTTTAGCAGGGGAGCAGAAAGCAACCGAGATAATTCAGGGTCAGCTCTGGGTGAATGTTTACGCTGAAGCGTTGTTCGGTTGGCTTTAGGGTTACTGTTCTCTTCTTCTACCAGGGTCAGTTGCAACAAATGGTTTGTCCCAAAAAGTAGGGTGACCCAAAAATGATTGGTTTCCCTTCAACTACCCTTCAAACCAATCCAAAAGGGGTTCAAAGAAAACACACACACAGCACACATGGTTTCAACGAGCAGCGCCCAAAACCCCTTTTGGCCATGTTCGGGCGGTTGTACCTGGATTAATTGGGATATAGTAAAGCCTGTCATAAACCATTATCACCACCATGGTAGGGGTTTAGTTGGCCTGTCATACACCGCCTGTATAAACCATTAAAACAGTAGAACATATATTGATTGGCCTGCATAAACCCCAAATGACCATGAGCATATTTTCCCATTTAGTGGGAACTATCATCTTCTCCGTGGTTTTCCCGATGGTCATCCCATGTAAAGGACCTTTGGATCAACCCCCATATAGTCTCACTTCCTCAGTTAATGAACTTTAAGCTTTTTGGGAAGACCATTTTAGTGGCAAATATAAAGTTTGAACTTTTTTCGGGCCATCACTCAGCAAGTGAGTAGTAGAACCAAAAGTCACAGAGCTGAGTTACGGGCGCTCGTTCTCGTTCTCTTTCGCCAGGAAGCCACCGAAGGTGCCAACCGGATTGAGTCCAGGCGAATCGCTGCCTTGGCTTGAGGTGTCCTTTGAAGCTTCCATGTGCTGAGTAATGAACGCCCCCTATTAATTAATAAACCCTGATTATTAACATGGGGGTTTCCCTGGTTTTGGTGGGGATTGTTCACTGTTGGAGGGGAACACCCCCCCTATTAATAAACTGGGGTTGATTAACCGGTTCATCTTTGTGTTGGGGTTAAACCAGGATATCTATCACTGGACATGTTTTTCTTTTAGAGGTCATATTAGTAATATGGTAATCATTTCCCCTTAGGGTTTTAAAGGTATGTTTTCGCTAGACATTTTTAGGTGTGTCTCCAGGGGATTCGATGGAGGGACCCAGTTCAGCAAGGACCCGTTTGGGGGTTTGGAGCCTCAGACCTTGGGACTGAACAGTTCGATTCCAAGACTTCGAGTTTGGTGTCATTTCACTCCCGGAGATTTATCCATTCTATGTATCCATTTGCTAGTGTTGGTGTCGGTTCCGAGTTTGCCATACCATGAGATTGTCCAAGCGGACCAGTCTGTTGGGGATTGAAAAGTGGGACTCCTGAGCTGGGTATGGTTTAGCGCTTAGCACTGTCGAATCCTCGCGCTTGCGAGGCTTACCAACTTGGAACGGAATGTGCAGGACGGGCGTCGTTTTGCGTTCTGAAGCATGTTCTGAAGAATGTGCCATGGTCAAAAGAGCTGGCTGATCGGTTCCAGGGATGTGGATCCTTGCGGATTCAGACCACCCAACACAGTTAAAGAACCAGACAGTGGCCGCCCGGCGCGCAAATGCCGCGAGGGGTGGGTTCAACATGTCGGTTTAAAAGAGCGACCCAGGGAAATCACGGAGTTGTTAGCAAGAGCGCTACAAAATTCCCGGTGCTACCACAGTGATTCCCCTGGTTCGCCTCTGGTAGCTATCCCTTCGTTTTTCTTCTGAAAGGCCCAGGGATGCATGTTGGACAGTTGGGGTGGGCATGGGAAGACTGTTTTGGTTTAAGAGGCTGTTGTCTCTTTTGCGCTGACTGCTGTAATCCTATTGCTCCCTTGCGTTATAGTGAAAGAGATAAACGATGGTGAGTGAATAATGGGTGAAAAAGATGCTATTAGTTCCTTCTTCCCTCTCAATCTGTCTCATCTGGAATCCACCGCTAGATGAAGGGAGAGGAGAAACAGAGACAGGTGTGGCCACAAAGAAGACTCTCCTCGCCACACACATCCCACTTCTTTTCTCCATTGCCTCCCCTCGCACAGATAGGGCGCGGGCAATGGCATCCCTTTATTCACAACCTTTCCACATCTCACTTTCAAAGATTGAAATGAGGATGAAGGATGGGAAATGCCAGGCAAACAGGCGCATAAAAGCACTTCCTCTACCATCTCGTCTTTCCCATTACACATCCTACCACCAGCATTTGGTAACGAATAAAATATGCTGGTCAAGGATGGGGAGGTGAGAAGGAGGCGAGAGAAAGGAACGTGACTCGCCATGCATTCATCCTTCTCACTTCCCCATCCTTACTAGCTGATTTTGTTAGTTCCCACATGCTGGACCCGCATTTGGGAACGCCAAACCAAAAGAAACCAAGGGAAACCAAACCAGGGGCCAATTCTTTTCCATCGGCTAGATGATTATTTTGAGAGGGGGCAACCCTAGGAACATGTGTATGGCTATTTTATAGGCCAGCTCAGCAATTGGGGAATAAATGAGGTTTCTATGATGCAGGTGTGTTTCTCAGGATTCTTGCGCAAACTCGAGCGCCGGCAGTTGAGGGAAATAGGAAGGCGGCGCCCTCCTATCTTGACACATGCCCCCCGGGGTTCAAACCACCATTACATCAATGGGGGCTCATATAACCCACTACTGTTTACCTAAGGCATTTCATCATCCAAATTTGTTTTTTCTTGGGTCTTTCTTTTCCTGGCGTCTGGAACCCCAGGGCACCCAACTGTTCTTTGGTCCGTGGCTCCGGTGATTTGTTCCTCTCGGCGCTCGCTCGCGCGAATGTTCGCTCTGACCGATCTTCAGCTCCTCGTGGACACCACGGCGAAGAACGAGAAGCGGCGCCGCAGCCTCGGTGAACGAGGGCAGCTCGAGAAGTTGATCGCCCTTTGGGGAAGGGTGCGCTTTTTTGTTGGGGGGGAGAACACAGAGAAAAAAGGGAAACCAGAGGCAGATTAGTTACCCCACTTTGGGCTTGTTTGAAGACACACCCGCATTTTGGCAGCTGATTTGTGGCCGGGAAAGCGTTTCCAACCGGAGGCGGTAACTCTGTGCCACCCAAACCCCTCCTCCCCCTCTAAAACCCTTCTAAAACCCGTCCAAAACCCCCAAAGGCTTCCTCCGGACAGAGTTTGCGGCACCAGTATTGCCCCATGTTGCTTGATTTGCAAGGAGCCCGTGCACATCCCATAGCCCCCAAGAAACGCGGAGTTTCGACCATTGCGCAGTTCAAAAGAGTCGATTCCTTGTTTTGGGGAACCTGTTTTTGTTTGGGCTTTCAACTGGAAACCAAACGGAAAACCACCGTTTTGGGGGTTCCCCAGAAGCAAGTTGGCCCTTAAGGCCTCGGCATCTTGGGACCTGGGCCTATTTCTGATAGTGCCCGCAGATGTGGCGCTGGACTTTTTCAGGTCTGTCCCGCACCACCACCCCCCCCCCCCTCACCCTCTCAAGGGGGGGGGGGTCCACCACCACCCCCCCCCCTTACGCAGCAACCCCCCCCCCTCACCTCTTAAAGAAGGGGGGAGGGGGGGTGTCCACCACCACCCCCCCCCCCCCCCCCCGCACAGCAAGCCCCCCCCACCCTCAGCAGGAGGGGGGGAGGTCCACCACCACCCACCCCCCCCTGCGCAGCAAGGGGTGGGGTTTGCACTACCTCCCCCCCCCCCCCCCGCGCAACTTTGGTGGGGGGGGGGGGGGTACCACCACCCCCCCCCCCCCCTCCGCCCGGAAGCACCACCTCCCCCACTACCTCCCCCCCCCCCCCCCCGCACAACTTTGGTGGGGGGGGCACCACCACCCCCCCCCCCCGCCCCGGAGGGGTACCACCACCTCCCCCCCCACCTTGAGCAGCTGTGCAGCTAAATCTTGGCGCCACATGTGAGCAGGGGCATGAAGGCCGTGGAGGACGCGGGCGCCTTCCGAGCGCCGACGAACGCGGCGAGGAGCTTCAACCCTCAGTACGGCGAGTGCAACTAAATCTTGCTACAAAAATCTTCAAAAGTGGCGGGCAGCCCCCCCCACGATGCTCGCAGAAGTGATGATTCACATAGGCGCGCAGTAGCGGGGGGGTGGCCCCCCCCATGATGCTCGAAGAAGAGCTTGTTGCCAAATGGGCGGGCGGATGTTCGAAGTAGGCGTGCAATGCAACCTAGGTGGAACATCAAGGAGTGATTCAAAGAGGGCGGGCGGATGTCACTTCGATAGATGTTCGAAGTAGGCGTGCAATGCAACCTAGGTGGAACATCAAGGAGTGAGTCAAAGAGGGCGGGCGGATGTTCGAAGTGATGATTTGAGTAGGGGCGCATCTAAATCTTGGTGCCAAATGTGCCAAGTAGCGAGGAGCTGCGGTCAATCCCTGCAACAAATCTGATGCTCGAAGAAGGGATGATTCAAATAGGCGTGCAATGCGACCTAGGTGGAACATCAAGGAGTGATGATTCAGGGAGGGCGGGCGGATGTTCGAAGTGGTGATTTGAGTAGGGGCACATCTAAATCTTGGTGCCAAATGTGCCAAGTAGCGGGGAGCTGCGGTCAATCCCTGCAACAAATCTGATGCTCGAAGAAGGGATGATTCAAACAGGCGTGCAATGCAACCTAGGTGGAACATCAAGGAGTGATGATTCAAAGAGGGCGGCGGATGTTCGAAGTGGTGATTCGAGTAGGGGCGCATCTAAAAAAGCAGCCGGGGGGGATTCAAAGAAGGCGGGCGGATGTTCGAAGTGATGATTCGAGTAGGGGCGCAGTTAAAGCTTGTTGCCAAATGTACTCAGTAGCGAGGGGGTTGGGGGGGGCGGCACCCCCCCATGATGCTCGAAGAAGTGACGATTCAAATAGGCGCGCAGTAGCGGGGGGCCATGATGCTCCAAGAAGAGCTTGTTGCCAAATGTACTAAGCGGCGGGGGGTGGAACATGAAGGAGTGATGATTCAAAGAGGGCGGGCGGATGTTCGAAGTGATGATTCAAATAGGCGCGCAATGCAAATTCTTTTTTCAAGGGTGAAGGAGTGATGATTCAAAGATTGCGGGCGGATGTTCGGAGAAATGCTTCGAGCAGGGGCGCAGCAGAATATTGTCAGCTGTGCAGCTAAGTCTTGGTGCCACATGTGAGCAGGGGTGCAGCTAAATCTTGCTACAAAAATCTTCAAAAGTGGCGGGCAGCCCCCCCCACGATGCTCGAAGAAGTGATGATTCACATAGGCGGGCAGTAGCGGGGGGGGGGGGGGGGGGGGGGCCCCCCCCCATGATGCTCGAAGAAGAGCTTGTTGCCAAATGGGCGGGCGGATGTTCGAAGTGATGATTCGAGTAGGGGCGCATCTAAAGCTTGTTGTCAAATGTACTCAGTAGCGGGGGGGTTTGGGGGGGCGGCAGACCCCCCCATGATGCTCGAAGAAGAGCTTCTTGCCAAATGTACTAAGTGGCGGGGGGGTTGGGGGGGGCGGCAGCCCCCCCTATGATGCTCGAAGAAGGGATGATTCAAATAGGCGTGCAGTGCAACCTAGGTACAACATCAAAAAGTAATAATTCAAAGAGGGCGGGCGGATGTTCGAAGTGATGATTTGAGTAGGGGCGCATCTACATCTTGGTGCCAAATGTACCAAGTAGCGGGGAGCTGCGGTCAATCCCTGCAACAAATCTAAAACCTAGGTGGAACATCAAGGAGTGATGATTCAAAGAGGGCGGGCGGATGTTCGAAGTGGTGATTCGAGTAGGGGCGCGTCTAAAAAAGCAGCCGGGGGGGATTCAAAGAGGGCGGGCGGATGTTCGAAGTGATGATTCGAGTAGGGGCGCGTCTAAAGCTTGTTGCCAAATGTACTCAGTAGCGGGGGGGTTGGGGGGGGCGGCAGACCCCCCCATGATGCTCGAAGAAGAGCTCGTTGCCAAATGTACGAAGTGGCGGGGGGTTGGGGGGGGCGGCAGCCCCCCCCCATGATGCTCGAAGAAGTGATGATTCAAATAGGCGCGCAATGCAAATTCTTTTTTCAAGGGTGAAGGAGTGATGATTCAAAGATTGCGGGCGGAGATCGTAGCAGAAAGCTTCGAGCGGGCGCAGCAAAAAATCTTGTAGCCAAATGTACCAAGTTGGCGGGGGTTTGGGGGGGGCGCAATGTACGAAGTGGCGGGGGGGTTGGGGGGGGCGGCAGCCCCCCCCATGATGCTCGAAGAAGGGATGATTCAAATAGGCGTGCAATGCAACCTAGGTGGAACATCAAGGAGTGATGATTCAAAGAGGGCGGGCGGATGTTCGAAGTGATGATTTGAGTAGGGGCGCATCTACATCTTGGTGCCAAATGTACCAAGTAGCGGGGAGCTGCGGTCAATCCCTGCAACAAATCTAAAACCTAGGTGGAACATCAAGGAGTGATGATTCAAAGAGGGCGGGCGGATGTTCGAAGTGGTGATTCGAGTAGGGGCGCGTCTAAAAAAGCAGCCGGGGGGGATTGAAAGAGGGCGGGCGGATGTTCGAAGTGATGATTCGAGTAGGGGCGCATCTAAAGCTTGTTGCCAAATGTACTCAGTAGCGGGGGGGTTGGGGGGGGCGGCAGACCCCCCCATGATGCTCGAAGAAGAGCTCGTTGCCAAATGTACGAAGTGGCGGGGGGTTGGGGGGGGCGGCAGCCCCCCCCCATGATGCTCGAAGAAGTGATGATTCAAATAGGCGCGCAATGCAAATTCTTTTTTCAAGGGTGAAGGAGTGATGATTCAAAGATTGCGGGCGGATGTTCGGAGAAACGCTTCGAGCCGGGGCGCAGCAAAATCTTGTTGCCAAATGTACCAAGTAGCGGGGGGGTTTGGGGGGGGCGGTAGCGGGGGGGTTGGCTCGAAGAAGAGCTTGTTGCGAAATGTGCTAAGTAGCGGGGGGGGGGAAGGTGTTGGGGGGGCGACAGCCACTGGATGATCGAAGAAGTGTATTATTCAACATAGGCACGCAAAGCATTTCTTTTTTCAAGGGTGAAGGAGTGATGATTCAAAGATTGCGGGCGGATGTTCGGAGAAATGATTCGAGCAGCGCAGCAAAATATTGTTGCCAAATGTGCCAAGTAGCGGGGGGGTTGGGGGGGGCGGCAGCAATCAACCCCTGCAATAAATCGAAGAAAGGAGCTGGGGGGGTGGGGAGGGGCGGGGGGTGCTGCCCCACCGAATGATGTTCGCAGAAGTGACGATTCAAGCAGGAGTGCGTCTCGCAAGCAAGGGCAAAGCAAGGCAAAGCAAAGGAAGGCAAGGGAAAGCAAGGGAAAGCAAGTGAAAGGGAAAACAAGTGAAAGCAAGGGATAGCAGGGCAAAGACAGCAAAAGCATGGGCAAAGCAACGCAAAGCAAAGGAACATAAGGGAACGGAAGGGACAGCAAGGCAAAGCAAGCAAAAGCACTATGATGCTCGAAGAAGGGATGATTCAAATAGGCGTGCAATGCAACCTAGGTGGAACATCAAGGAGTGATGATTCAAAGAGGGCGGGCGGATGTTCGAAGTGATGATTTGAGTAGGGGCGCATCTACATCTTGGTGCCAAATGTACCAAGTAGCGGGGAGCTGCGGTCAATCCCTGCAACAAATCTAAAACCTAGGTGGAACATCAAGGAGTGATGATTCAAGAGGGCGGGCGGATGTTCGAAGTGGTGATTCGAGTAGGGGCGCGTCTAAAAAAGCAGCCGGGGGGGATTCAAAGAGGGCGGGCGGATGTTCGAAGTGATGATTCGAGTAGGGGCGCATCTAAAGCTTGTTGCCAAATGTACTCAGTAGCGGGGGGGTTGGGGGGGGCGGCAGACCCCCCCATGATGCTCGAAGAAGAGCTCGTTGCCAAATGTACGAAGTGGCGGGGGGTTGGGGGGGGCGGCAGCCCCCCCCCATGATGCTCGAAGAAGTGATGATTCAAATAGGCGCGCAATGCAAATTCTTTTTTCAAGGGTGAAGGAGTGATGATTCAAAGATTGCGGGCGGATGTTCGGAGAAACGCTTCGAGCCGGGGCGCAGCAAAATCTTGTTGCCAAATGTACCAAGTAGCGGGGGGGTTTGGGGGGGGCGGTAGCGGGGGGGTTGGCTCGAAGAAGAGCTTGTTGCGAAATGTGCTAAGTAGCGGGGGGGGGGTTGGGGGGGGGCACAGCCCATGATGTTCGAAGAAGTGATGATTCAAATAGGCACGCAAAGCAATTTTTGTTTTCAAGGGTGAAGGAGTGATGATTCAAAGATTGCGGGCGGATGTTCGGAGAAATGATTCGAGCAGCGCAGCAAAATATTGTTGCCAAATGTGCCAAGTAGCGGGGGGGTTGGGGGGGGCGGCAGCAATCAACCCCTGCAATAAATCGAAGAAAGCAGCTGGGGGGGTGGGGAGGGGCGGGGGGTGCTGCCCCACCGAATGATGTTCGCAGAAGTGACGATTCAAGCAGGAGTGCGTCTCGCAAGCAAGGGCAAAGCAAGGCAAAGCAAAGGAAGGCAAGGGAAAGCAAGGGAAAGCAAGTGAAAGGGAAAACAAGTGAAAGCAAGGGATAGCAGGGCAAAGACAGCAAAAGCATGGGCAAAGCAACGCAAAGCAAAGGAACATAAGGGAAAGGAAGGGACAGCAAGGCAAAGCAAGCAAAAGCACGGGCAAAGCCAGGCAAAGCAAGGGAAAGCAAGAGACAGCAAGACGGCAACAGGTATCCTCCCCGCCCCCGCCCTTTATTGCTGTACGCATCGCTCCTTTTGCTTGGGGGGGCTGGTATCGTTTTCCGGGAGCGTTCGAGACTTGGCTGATCTGCCTAGATCCATAGAGTTCACATGCGGCTCAGCAGCAGGGCGTCAACTAGACAAGCTTGCCAGCAGTAGTAGCATCAGCAACCATGACCAGCACAGTGTCGACAAGGTCAGCTCAGAAGTTTGTCGAACAAGGCGGCGCGTACCTGCCCGCATCCGGAATGTTTGGCATGCTTGAAGCTTCGCGTCAGTGACGACTTCCAGGGCTGCAGCCAGGCTGTGCTGCGCTAGCCTGAACATGGATATCGTTTTTTAGTGATGCGGTATTTGACGGCGCGCTTTCGAGGAGTCCTGGTTCTCGGAAAGCAAAGAATGGTCTGCACTAGACTACCTCTTCGAAAGCCACGAACGTGAGGTACCGCCAAAGAAAGGTGGTGGGAGGGATACTTATGTGCAGGGGTTACGATTTCTATCACGCTTGGACTATGCAGTCTGGTCATGTCCTGCCGCGTGTTCTGGCGGTGACCGCTTGCTGTTGGCTTTCAGCCGATTGCAGAGAAGGCTCTTCGAAGACCACGAACGTGAGGTATCACCAAAGAAAGGTGGTGGGCGGGATATGCGCCAAGCTGAGACACGGCGCTGCGCAGGGCGCTGTTGGCGCTGATGCTGTTGCAGGTAGCTGCTGGGTGCTGCTTCAGGGTGCTGCTGCGCAGTGCTGCTGCAGGTGCTGCAGGCCGAGACTCGGAGTTGCGCAGGGGTGCTGTAGAATGCTGTTGCAGGGCGCTGCTGCCGGCCGAGAGGAGGGTGCTGTTGCAGGTGCAGTCTGTAGCTTGCTGGCTGACAACACATTCTTGCGACGATACGTGTTGAGCTTTTCGGGGATGGCGGGCAGGTTCTTTTGCCTGGGAATATTTTCGTATATACGTAAGGATGCACAGGTACATATATATGTAAGTAGATGCAAAGACGATGCGGTTTTAACACAAGCAATACGGGCCGAAGATAAACCGCAGCTCGATAGTTCAATTGGTGTCAGGTGATCCCGTTGTGAATTTCTTGTCTAGGGGTGGGGCACTTTGTGTCAGGTCATCTCTGTCAAGTCACGGCGTGCATTTACGGGTTGTGGCAGATGGCACTAGGGGGACGTTGGTGGCATAGAACAGGAATACCTACCAGCAACCCGAGGAAATAGAACCATTCACTCAATCTGTCGGTTCCTCGTGCTTGAGGTTTGACATATTACTGGCAGCGACATGTTTCGCCTTGCTGCGATGACGGAGCTTGCGTTTCGCCTTGCCGCGAAGCAGATCTTGCGGACACGTAGCACAACACTTGTCGGACCGATCGCGTCATCCCGCTCATTGGCGAGAACGCGCGGATGGGCCTGCGCGGGTTCGCAGACAGCCTGAGGCGCGCGAGCACTCCCAGCTGAAACCTGTAAGCCGGGATACAGATGGATTGGAGTTGACTGCGTTTGGCTCTCATTTCTGGTAGTGAGTGGCTTGCTTGCCCGTGTTCGCAGACTGGCTCGGGCCTTCTGATTGTTTTCCTAGACATGACAGTTCAACGTGTTCAGCAGACCGACACACCGTTTGGACGATTTTAGAGCATATTTTTTTTCAGCTTACCTGGCTCTGGTCAGTGTCGGGGCGCAGCAAGCCTATGAACTATTGTGAGTGCTTTTCGGGTGGCCAGGACCTTTCCGGGTATGTCAAAAGGATGCCCGGAACTTTCTGACGCACGTGCATTGTCCAGCGAGATGGCGGCGCGCAGTCTACCCCGGGTCTTCGCGGCTCACGTGCTGCCATCGAGTTTTGTGTTTTTTTTTTGGGGGGGGAGCTGGGCTCTTTGGTTCTTCTTAGGTGGCGCAATGCAGGATAGGCTGCAGCAAGCTTTTGAGATTGCCAGGTCTATGTATGAGAAGATCGGAGGACGGGCGTCGAGTTTACGCTCACCCGCGCCACGTGGCCAGTCGCTGAATAACGGAACTGTAGGAACTGTCAGGGTCCCTCAAACCAGAACCACGAGTGGCGTGGAAAGTGGCTGTTTGTGTCATGTGACTTGTGTCCTGTTGCACGCAATACAGCTGCCGCATGTCTCAACTCTTCCCACGGCAAGCCACAGCAAATGAAGCCCATATGTGTGTGTGTGTGCACGTGCGTGCGTTGCGCTGGCACGGATATTTGCACGCGTGCGTGTGTGCTGGCGCGGGCATTTGCGAAGTTTGCCCTTATGGGCCATGCAGTGAGCTTGGGTGTTGCGTGCTGTGCCCTTGCGGTCGCGCGTACGCGTGCAGGGTCTCGTGCGCACATTGGCTCGTGCAAGTTTTGCCTCGGGCAAGTTCTTCTCGTGCGAGTTGGCTCGCGTAAGTTTGGCTGCGTGACAAGGCTCGCGTGAGCTGGCGCGTGTCAGTCGGAAGAACCCTTCGCAGTGCGTGCGGGGAAGACAAAAATGAACCGCGAAAGAAAATTAAGCAGCTCTGTCTTTTCCACTCATACACTTGTGAGGAAAACGCTCGCTTTGTGTCGCATTTCGGGCTGCTTTTCACCTGCCGCATGTCTCAACTCTTCCCCCAGCGCACGTGCGTGCGTTGCGCTAGCGCGGATATTTGCCTGCGTGCGTGTGCGCTATCGCGCACAATTGCAAAGTTTGCCGTGCTGTGCCGATGAGCTTGGGTGTTGCGAGCTGTGCCCTTGCACTCGCGCGTGTGCGTGCGCAGGGTCTCGTGCGCATTGGCTCGTGCAAGTTTTGCCTCGTGTAAGTGATTCTCGTGCGAGTGGGCTCGCGTAAGTTTAGCTGCGTGACGAGGCTCTGCGTGCGTGTGCGCTATCGCGCACAATTGCAAAGTTTGCCGTGCTGTGCCGATGAGCTTGGGTGTTGCGAGCTGTGCCCTTGCACTCGCGCGTGTGCGTGCGCAGGGTCTCGTGCGCATTGGCTCGTGCAAGTTTTGCCTCGTGTAAGTGATTCTCGTGCGAGTGGGCTCGCGTAAGTTTAGCTGCGTGACGAGGCTCTGCGTGCGTGTGCGCTATCGCGCACATTTGCAAAGTCTGCCCTGCTGTGCCGATGAGCTTGGGTGTTGCGAGCTGTGCCCTTGCACTCGCGCGTGTGCGTGCGCAGGGTCTCGTGCGCATTGGCTCGTGCAAGTTTTGCCTCGGGTAAGTGATTCTCGTGCGAGTTGGCTCGCGTAAGTTTGGCTGCGTGACGAGGCTCTGCGTGCGTGTGCGCTATCGCGCACATTTGCAAAGTCTGCCCTGCTGTGCCGATGAGCTTGGGTGTTGCGAGCTGTGCCCTTGCACTCGCGCGTGTGCGTGCGCAGGGTCTCGTGCGCATTGGCTCGTGCAAGTTGTGCCTCGGGTACGTGATTCTCGTGCGAGTTGGCTCGCGTAAGTTTGGCTACGTGACGAGGCTCCTGTAAGCTGGCGCGTGCCAGTCGGGAGAACCCTTCGCAATGCGTGCGGGGAGGAAAAAAAGACCCGCGGAAAAAAAGAAGAAAAACAAGACGCAGCTCTGTCCTTTCCACTGATACAACTGTGAGGACAACACTCGCTTTGTGTCGCATCTCGGACTATCTGCAAAGTACGTCTGGTTTTCTCTCAGGGCTGTATTTGTTTGCGCCGACACCCTGGCAGGTCCATTATTTTTGGCGGCATGCCCCTTTGTTTTCTTTCGAGGCAAACGGCAGCTGAACTGCTTTGTTGCGCAAATTTGCACACTTGAAAGGATTACGATTCTAGACGGTGGATCCCGCGGGCCTTTGAATTTTCGAATAGCACATGGGCAAGTAGTTTTGTGTTCCTTACTTAGGGAAAAACATGGGGAGACGAGCTCCGCGAGCCAGGTGCTTCCCTTGTTGCGAGCGACTGAGTGCCTCTAATCATGTTGGCAGGGGTGGCAGCTGCCTCTTTTTGAGTCCATGGAGTTGCTGGCCCCGCTGTGCCATCGAACAGGCCCGCGCGTGTCAGGAAACTGGGGAATCCATATTGAGGGGGTCCGACTTTACCGCAGCAAGTCAGGCGGCGACGTGGCTTCCGTGGATCCAGAGACACAAGAGGCGCGATCCCCAGTTTTTTGGTCTTGGGTTTTGACGGGTGTTTGTGCAAACTATTCTCCTGCCTTTTTTTAGAGGAACGATGGTGGGTTTCCTGGTGTGTCTTGAATGCTTGGGTTTCCACGTGCCAAGGGCCGCTTTTTGCTGGGGCGTTTGCTCGCCCGGCGCTGGGTTCTCGCGAGGAATGAAGCGTCATGAAGCGGCCGCACGCTTCTTCCAATTTTGTTCGGCGCGTGCCGCCTCGTCGAGTCCGAGCCTTATGGCCTGGCTGTCTTGACTGAGATTCTGCTGTACAGGCGTCGGGTGGGGAGCCCACCTTGACGGAAAGTGTCGAGGCATGTGAAATTACTTTTCGCGTTTTCTCCTGGAATGTGGCAGGCTGCGGGAAGCAAGACTAGTGCCGCGTCTGCCTCGGAGGCGGGCAACTCCATGTGGCAGTGTTTACTAACCTGGTCTGTGAGCAAATGAAGGGTTGCTTCGTGTAGCATAGGGGCCTGCAGTATCATGCAGGGTCACCGTTTGCGCCATCGCCCTCAAGAGTCAACGGCTGTCTCCTCAGCAGCACGGGAGACTTCGGCGCGCAGGTGTTGTGCGGAGAGCCCGTGCAGGAGAGTTTGGAGGCACGTTCTGCCCGTGTATCTCTGTGAGTCTGTGCCTGTCTACGTGCTTGCGCGCGCATAGGCAAGCCTGCTAGCGGAGCATCAGGGTCAGCTGCCTTCGGTGGGCACCTGGGTTTGGAGCTCCAACGCAGCTCAAATGGTCATGTCCAACTTACAGGCTTGCGGGCTCTGCAGCTCTGCAGACGGCGTGTGCACATGTGCGTGCGGCAGAGGCTACAACGCTCATGTTTCTGCTGCGAAGTTGGCGGACTGCTGGCTTTCACACGCGCGATGCGCCTTGCAGCAAACGCTACAGCGGGTGCAGCCAGATTCCTCTTTGCCGGCTGGAGGTCGCTGGCTGTTGCCTGGGGAGCGTTGCCCATCTTGCGGCAGCGATCGCAACGGCTGGCTGTGTGCTGGTGGTCACGGTCACTGGACGTCTTGCGAGGAAGCTTTTTTCTTTGGGAACGAGTGGAGCAGGGTTGCCATTGGTCCTCAAGGAAGACTTTCTACAGACAAACTTTGTCACTGCGTTCATTTGCCCCGTCACAGCGTCATTCCTGAGAAGGATGTGCCATTGCAACTGATCTCAGCCCATTTGCGGGCGCATGTGAAAGCTGCACGGCATTATGAGCGAAGATTGTCGTCCTTTCATCAGAAGATGAGGAAGAAACGACATCATGCTCCTTTCCTCAAGCACGGGATGAAGTCTCTTGCCTGCGAGGTGCCCAACAGTATGGAGTCCAGAATTCGTGCCTTCCAGCGCACCGCTGAACGAGTGTCCACTGGTCGGCTCATTCAAGACTTCTCAGCTCAGAGTACGGACTTCAAAACCCGCTTGCCATCTCGGAATCCACAAGATCTCAAACTTCGCAAGGGGTCTGTGATTTTTCCAAGTGGTACTGGCAATGGGCTTTGCATCATGCAAATTGATCAGAGTGAGAAGCAGGTCCTGACTGCACTTGTGCAGCGTGCCGACGACTGCAGCAGACATCCGAAATGCATATGCTATCATGTGTGTCACTATACATTGGCTTGGAAGCCAATGCGTGATCTGGTGGGCCAGGTGGTTTGTTTGTGTCCGCGCTTTGGCTGGCGACACGACTTTACACTGCCATTGGGCAAAGTGTGCTGGAGACGGACGGATCTATTGGGCACTACTCATGATTTTTGGAAGGAAAGGCGAGGCCGTGCCGGCTCAGCGGAAATGCCTGAAAGTGTGGATGTGGATGCGTCTCGCTGCCACGCACTTCTGCGCGAGTGTCAAGACGATCAGCGCTTTTTGCCGGCGGACATGGCGCGGCTGCGCTTAGTCATTCCCCTGGTTGTAGTCTGGCCGGCGTCCAGTGATGGTTCTTTGGCGCCAGTGGCCAGGTGCAACTGCTCCGCGTGCGGCGGCAGCTTGACACGACATGGCATCAAGACGCCCCTGGGGCTGGGTTTGGGCAAGTCATGCCTGTTTCATGTGCTGCTGCCGCTGGCTACTTGCGGCCGCTGCAAGAGAAGGCGCCTCACCTTTGCCATGGAAGAGGCGATGCGTCCGCCGGACGAGTTCCAAACCCGCTTGCATTTCGACATTTTTGCTGGCCGGGTCGTCGAGGGGCAGCTGACTGACTGGCTGTGTCGCACTTTTAGGAAGCACTTCAATCAACAAGCGCTGCGGGCGAGCTACTTGGACTTGTTGGGCACTGCCATCGATCCGGCCGTATTGCCTCTGTCTGCAGCTTTGCAGGGGCTTGTTTTTATGCACTTCCAGTCCGGGATTCCTCTGCCAGCTTGCCTCTCTCGCATGGTGCTACTTACTTTCCAAGCATCTGAGCTTCCGCGCGTTCAGAGTCAGGTTCGCTGGATCACTGGCCGTTTCGGGGTGGTCATTGCTGTGGATGGGTCTTCGGCGCCTCTACAAGAGGCGAGTGCATATGCGCTGAAAAAGGCTGCAGGCTCTAGCGCAGAAAGGAAACCTGGGGCGGCTTTGCGCGCGCTTGGCCTGTTTGATGTCCCTCTGTGTCCTTATGTTCTCGTCCCATCCGAATCTCGATCTAGTGTTGCTGAGCTCGTCAGCTTTTTGATCACAGAAGCGGCTTCAACGGACGCAGCTGCACTGCCGGTGGGGTGGGTGCAAGACAACACCGAGTCTATGTGGCGGACAATGACGCATGTGATTTCTAAACTGCTTCATACATTCGAGGCTATGGATGTGATTCAAGTGGATGAAAAGAACAAAAGCGTCTCGGGCTTCTTTGTTGCCATCGATCCTATACATGTGCAGTGGCGGCTGCTAGATGCATTAGACTCACGCAGTGCGGACTTCCTGCGTGCTGGCTGGGCTCTCCGGACATTGTTCTCCAGGCTGTTCAACCCTGTGACTCCGGAAGCTGACGCGGAACCGAGCGATGTCGGTGAGGATGTTGCGGAAAGGAGGCTTCCAGTGTCGTGGCAAGACTTGTGGCTGTCATGGCTTCGGTATGAAAAGATTGGGCATGATCCAGCGGCGGGAGCTGCCGCTTTGCGCGCTTACTGCCACGATGGGTGTGCTGATTTCCGCGCAGATGGCGCTTTGCCTCCCAGGTGCCTTTTTGAAGGCTTTCTCCACTCCTTGGGGTGCAAGGTGGCAGCTGCAACGCTGTGGTGCGACTTGGACGCTGGGGAGACTTATCGTGCTGAGCTGGCACGCTTCACGACGTGGTTCTCCACACCTCTCGCCGCTTTGTATGCCTTATTCTCCAGCAGCACGTGTTCTTGTTTCGATAGCTGTTCTCCGTGTGTTTTGTGCCTGGCGATTGACGTGTTCACATGCTGCCTCCATGCTTGCAGGACCCGTTTTGGGTTGTCAAAAGGACTTTGTTTCCCACACGTGTCGCGGTTTTTTTCTCCTGCACAAGGGTTTTCAGTGGGGAACTCCCAAAAGCTCCGCGAAGGCACTTGTGCGATACATTGAGTACCGCGAAGCCCCGCGAAGCCACTTCGCGTAGCCCGGTAACATTGGCACAGGCGAAGCCACTTCGCGAAGCCACTTCGCGAAGAGCAATGTGCGTTTCAGGCCCGTTTTTGCTAGAAACGCTGGAACGTTTTCGCGAAGCCCCCGCGAAGCCCCCGCGAAGCCTCCGCGAAGCCTCCGCGAAGCCACCGCGGTCCAACTTCCATGCTCCGCCTCTTTCATGAGGCCCAGCCATGTCCCCTAAAAAATGTCCTGAAGGTCAATGCCTCTCTTGCCGCGTTTCATCGCCCCCTTTCGCATGGACTCAACTTGATTCAACAACATGGGGTCGCAAACGTCAGAGATGTCTGTGGAACAAACATCCGCGAAGCCCGGCGAAGCCACTCCGCGAAGCCACAGTCTTGCCGCGAAGCCTCGCGAAGCCAACCCTTCCACAAATTCTGGCCCCGCGAAGCCGCCCGCGTAGCCTCCCCAGCAGTGTATAAGCTCTGAACCTCTAAAAGCTGCCTCCATGCTTGAAGGACCCGTTCTGGGTTGTCAAAAGGACTTTGTTTCCCACACGTGTCGCGAAAGCTTGATATGTCGAGCTGAAGCTACACCTGCCAGCAAAGGTTCTTCCGACTTGGAGCTGCCAAATGTGTACTCAATAGTTTACGTTTCTGTGTCAGCCAGGGTCTTGCTGCTTCTGATTCTTGCGAGCTGGAGCTGCCCGCGTGCGCGCTGCGCGCTGCATTTGACAGCCAAGTTGGAGCTCCCAACGTGTACTTTGTGTGCTAGACTTGTGCAGAGATGCAACCCTCGGGGACCTGTGCTTCCGGCACTACTTTCGTGCTTTCTTACTAGTACTACTACTACTGCTACTACTACTACGACTACTACTACTACTAGTACTACTAGTACTACTAGTATGACGACTACTACTACTGCTACTCCTGCTACTACTGCTACTGCTACTACTGCTGTCTAGAACTACTACTACTACTACTACTACTACTACTACTGCCACTACTATTACTACTACTAGTACTACTAGAACTATTACTACTATTACTATTACTATTTCTTCTACTACTACTACCACTATTGTTACTATTAATACTACTACTAGTCTTACTACTACTACTACAACTGTTACTAGTACTACAACTACAACAACTACTGCTATTATTCTACTACTTGTACTACTACTACTGCTACTGCTACCACTACTGCTATTACTACTGTTACTATTCATACTAGTACTACTACTACTATTATTACTACTACTGCTACTACTACTGCTACTTCTACTTCTACTTCTTCTAGGCATGGCTTCCGCAGCCAGTCTGACACAGTCTGAAGCCACACAGCTTTGCCTGCTGCACGGAGGCTGTCAGAGCTTTTGCCGATTTTTATGAAACACTTCCATTGATAATATCCACGGGCTATTCCTGAACAGTTGGTTGGTTGGTGGGTTGGTTGGTTGG